ATAATAATAATAATAATAATTTTCTAATTAGTTGTTCAGTTCAGAATAAAGGTACTTGAGAATCTTTTCTATAGGTATTAGGATTCTGGTAGGTTTTTGGTAAGGGAAAAATAATCAAAGTCCTGTTTTCAGGTATTTAATATGAGTCCATAAAATACAGAGAGAACCCTAAAACACCGTGGACTGTATTCTGGCATTTTGACCACAGACATTTGAATCAGCTAAGTATTTAATGGAAGGAAAGAAGTGATGTATGATTAAAAACAAAAGAACCATAAAAGATGTTTATTAACCAATGAGCAAGTAGAGACCAAGAAAGATTCAGTGATCGTTAAACCAGAGACAGACATAATTGGCTTGTTGGTTTGATCTGTAGTGTGATTATTTGTTGACCTCTTCTTTGCCCTGCTCTGGAGGGTAGAGGAGGCCTAGGAGTCACTATTTAATGTGCTTATTTTTATATATCAATCAAATCCAAATAGGAAGAAAAGCAGGCTCTTATTTTTCTTTTAATGTAGAGAGATGCTTAAGTGACAAATGAGTTTATAAATTTTTGACCTTTCAGCTGATACTTGTGAATTATATTGTAAGCAAAGAAGCATCTTTGAGGGCAGACAGAAACTGAGGAAGGAAAATAGCAAGAGAGGAGAGAAGTGGGGAGTGTCAGGAGCGGGGGCTCATGTTCACTGAAAAGATGTGGAAAGAGTGTGGAGAAACAGCGGTACACCTCAGTGCTTTGGAGAGGAATGAAAGGAAAGGTCTTATCTCAGCCATCACAGGTAGCAAGAAAAAATAATGTTAAGAGCGAAATATGAGTCCAACATTGTCAAGTTCTTTATCATAGTCCTTTGCAAGATGCATGAAATATTTATTACATTTAATAAATATTAAGCATAAAACTCAATGGAAAAAGAAAAGCTGTGGAATGACTTTAACAGCGTTGACTCTTAGAACATGAGCCAATAAATTGACACACACCAAATAAACAGAATAAATTAAGCAAGACATAGTAAATAGAAATGACATCTATTATTTACTTAAGACTGTCAGTAATTAAAGCATTATGCTAGCTATTGCTTTTGTTATCTGTAATTTTACTAAAAGATAATGACCCTGAGAATTTCTTTTTTTAGAAGTTAATGAAACACCTCTTTTAGTGGTGGAATAATTTCCTTGGCCTATGTCTAGTATATACAGGACAGTTTTTTCTTTTGTTTCTTTTTTTTTTTTGTATTTTAGGGAAGGGTCTACAGGGTGTTCAGGGTGTCACTACTAGATCAGACTCCTACTGATCCGCCTGTTTACAACCTCCCAAGAGCTGGGATTAGAGGGGTGCGCCACCACACCCAGTCTCAATTGCCATCTCAGTGTGCCCTGGGGGCGGGGCCATCACAGCAGGCCTGGGGATCAAACCCTCGGCCCCTGTGTCTGCTTGCAGGTGCTTTAATCTGCTGAGCTATTTGGCCTGCCCTAGTTTTTTCAAATTCATGTTGAACACCTGTGAATTTAGATATAAGAGTTTATTTTTTCTTAGTGAGATCTTCTCAGACTTGTACATAGACAAAAACAAACAAATAAACAGGAAAGACAGCCTAGAAGGTTATAGAAGCCCCTGATGCTGCAGTGAGGACTGGAAAGCACAAGAGTTTGGAAGAGCCATGAAAGCATTTCACAGCAGAGTTAGGAAAAGCAAACGGGAGTTATGCAGTTACAGTTAATCGTGAGGTCTAAGTTGACTGCTCTGCTCTATAAGGTTTAGTATTTCTAAAATGTAGATTGGAAATGAATTAGTATGCTACAAAGAGGAGAAAGGTTGATTATGAGAATGATTTTGTTGGAAAATTAATGAAGGCGTCAAAGGCACTCAAGCAGCCACGGCAGCCCACTGGACATGATACTGAACTTGCGCGAGGCTGAGTCAGGTCGGCGTGATTGTCAGTGTTGGATGGGGCATCACTGAAGGAGCAGCGACGCAAGCAATCTTAGTGTGGGGGAAGAAAGTGAGTCCTGGGCAATGCCGGGAGTGAGCATAGGACAGGCTTTGGTCCCCTTTGTATTGCTCGTGGAACCAAATTTCTAATCATGGACCCAGCTAAGAAAAAAAGAGAAATTAGAGCAGGGAGCCATAAAACTACAACTCTCCTCCCACCGAGGAAAGAATAACAACGTGGATTCGTACTGTAAGTAAGAGCCTTCCCCAGCCCTGCGGCTCCTGATCCTGCATTCTCCAGGCCTGTTCGCAAGGTCGACTTGCTGCACAGGCCAAGCAAGTGATCAGAAAGTTACTTAGTTTGGGAGGAAGGTTTCCAGGGCAAGATGATTAGACCAGAAGGGGAAATGGTGTCCAATCCAAAGCTATGTTTGGGCCAAAATCTGCTATGTGGTGGGAAAACAAAACAAAAACAAAGAACAAACAAAAAACAGAAGGCATATTGTGATTGGTATTTGTTCTTATAATTTTAACTTTATAACATGGAGGTGAAAGACTGCTGGTTTTGAAGCTATCAGGATGCTTCTGCCTTTAAACAGGAAGCACACCAGCCACCCGTGAAGGCCTCTTGGGAGCCATAGCGGGGGTTGTCTGCTCTGTATTCCGTAGCCCAAAGGTCTCAGCTATCAGCTTGAAGGAAGAATTTTCTTGCTTCTGTAGGTACATCTATGTAATAATGCATGTATTCAAGTTATTATCAACTTTATAGCAACCATGTTGTTAAAATGCACAATGGCTTAAAATATAAAATATTTATTTATTTTTAATATGAAATATTTTATCAAAATCCATGCAAAAAATTCATTTGAGCAAATCTTATCATACTACAGGTTTCTGGAAGTTGAAATTTATCCCTTGAGAATTTTCAAAAAGTGATACTGTTTATGAGGTATATATACCGATTATATTCAACTTGGAATTACACTTTACTTTTAAAGTATATTCAGACCAGTAATATTGTATTTCACATCTGTTGGGTTTTAGTCACTCTGTTTTTGGACTTTACATCCATGGGAAGAAAAAATATTCTCTGAGTTAATAATATTTTCTCTTTTTAAAGAACAAGGATGTACAAACTCACTCTAAAACATCAGGCCTTATTCTCGTAGCACCCTCCTCTTTAGCTGCAGGCGTTTGAAGTCGATGAGGATGTGTTGTTTTACCCTGCGCACCTCAGACGCCTAGATGTCTGCTATGCAAACAGTATGCATTAAATTTTTATTATGACAAGGAAATAATCAGTGACTTAGTGATGCTTTCAAATTTCTGTTTGGAGAGTAAATATTTTCTCCTAAAGATGTCTTTTCATTTCCACACTTCTGGGAGGAGATATTATGGAGAAATCGCGGCCAAATGTGAGTGAATTGCTTAAACTATGAACTGATTACCGACTATTAGCCAGCCTTCTTTCGAACGCTTCTGGGCACGCTAACCGAAGCTCTGTTTTCTGTGTTCCCAGCAGCAGTTGCAGCGTCCAGCGATCAGAGCCAGATCCCTATCATTGCTGTGTCAGTGACCGTGGGAGTCATTTTGTTGGCGGTGGTTCTCGGCTTCCTCCTCAGTGGAAGGTAAGCGCGGAAGCTGTGACTCCCAGCTTTGGCAGCTGACGTCCTCCCCAGTGGATCTGACTGTTTCCATGTTAGGCACGTCCCCAACAAACCAGGCAAGTGGTGTGTCCCTCAATAACTTCAGTGCAGGATGGCGTTTTCCAGCCATATCTTGACCAAAGTAGTGCTCATTCAGCAGCAAAGTTTCTCTTTTTCAGGTTTGCTCTTGTCACAATAGTAGGATTGAAGTGCTCTCATTTATTCTGCTAATAAAATCACATTGCTTCTTTTGATATACTTTATGTTTAATTTGCATATGTCCTCTCGCAAAAACATATATCATTGCCTATTTCAATTTTAATTAGAACTTAGGAAGACCTAGGTTTGTGCCTGGTAGAGATTTAAGAATAGATTGAATAATTCTACAAAGCAGATGCTCTGACAAATGGAAAGTTTGAGAAATAACCAAACTTTTTGGTGACTGTTTTTATTTTCAGTTCCTGAATATTTTCAATTACAACATGTCCATGATTTGCTTTAAATCATGTGTACTGATTTAAAGCAAATTTCTATGCCAAAGGATACTTGAATAGGTGTGTCATGTCTCCACCTTTATTTTTATTTTGAAGACATAAGATACATAGTCCCCAAAGGACAATTTGTAGAGATGTTTGATGAAATACAGCTAAGCATAGTAAACACCTTTAAAAATAAAATAGAAGTAAGTAGATAAGAATGCTCTATTCCCATAACAGACATATTTTTATATTTTCATATTTTTTCTCCAAACTGTGGTGAAAAGGAAGATTCTTTAGTAGGACTTCTCCATCTGAAAATTTACAAGCATTATAGAAAAGTTGATGAAAGTATTCATGGGAATAGTTGGACCTGACAAAAACATGAAAATGTGCTTTAAGTTCCAAAAACAGTCAAAAAATCAATTTATTCATGTTTATTTTATTAGTTTTCTACTCACTGTTGACATTTCATGAAGTATCCAACTCATGAATATGAAGAATTGGGCTTTTTTCAGTATCCCATGTGTTGCGTTTTGAAAAGATTTGTGGCTAGACCCTGAAATCACAGAAGTAGCAATTTATTTTTATTAAACATTGCTAGTTCCTTTGAGTATTCTTTCTCTTTCTTCTAAACTCTTCTTCAAGACTGTTCAGAGTTTTCTGAAGAACACATGTTAAAATCAATTTCTTACTTTGAATTTTAGAATTTCTAGTTGGGAGACAGCTCTGTTGCTTGAGGGAGGTTAAGCCCAGCCCATTGCAGCGCAGACTCTGGGTCCCGTTTGTGTCTGCTCTTTGGAGTCCCACAAGAATGCCAGAACAATTCCAGCCTTATGGAAGATAAAGTGCTTACCCCAGTTCAGCTGTAAAATCTTTTCATCTGAAAGGTTAACTACTTCCCCCAAAGATGAGAGGTTGAAAAAGTTTATAAGCAAGTTTTTAATGTGTGAAATTGTTACCACGTCATTTTGTTCAATGTATATTCATGAATTTCAAGGGACATTAGTAATATGGCAGAAATGTCTTTGGCTATAATGTGTTTTGCTCTTCTTTAAAAAAGTATTTTTTATAATTATATACATATTATTCAAAAGCTAAGTGATATGATTCTTCAGAGACATTTTTGTGTCTTACCTCAGGCATTACTTCAAATTTTTGTCTTGGATTTAATCTTACCCAACCAATATTACCTACATAGTCTTGATTTGCCAAATGAAAGTAAAACTAAGAGAAGCCAAAACCTAGCACAAATTTGGGAGGCTGTTGAATTCCAGCAAATTATTAAAGACTGCTTGTGCTAGAAATGATATAAGGATGTTAAATTACATTTTTCCCAAATATACTCAATAAATGCATACAATGAAAGCACATGATAATATTAGCGCTATCTTCTTACTTTAACTATTTTTCATAGGCAACTTATAATTAGACATTGCAACCAGATATGTGCTTGTGGGTAATATATATTGTATTTAAAAATAAATTGATTTCTTAGGGATGATATAAAAATTTTGACATACTACAAAATACTGATATTGTGCTTATTATTTTTTGACAATTTTTTCATCATTAGGACCTGAAAAAGATGTATCTTGAAGATCAGTATTTATTAGTAATTTGTACTTTATTCAGATGGAAGAAAAAATAATTCTAGGCTATACATCATATTGAATGTTGTAAGACTAATTTATTTAAAAAAAAATCAACTTTATTTTATTCTCAAATACATTCAAAAATGAAAAAGAAATAAAATACAGAGACTTTCTAATCTTTGTAGGTTTGTGATGATTATGCACAAATATTTTTTGCATCTTCCTAACTAGGTATAGTTTTTTTGGATTTTTTCTTTTTCTTTTGGTACCAGCGATTGAACTCAGGACCTTGCACTTGCCAGGCAGGCATATACACTGCTGAGTTATCTCCCCAGCCCATCTAGGCATAGTTTAAAATGATGTACACAAGTACAAAATTTGTGGAAGTCTTATTTTTTAAAAAAGGTAATCATCTCTTTTAAAGGTTTTCATTACTCTATAAAACATTTTGTGCTGGTGTAATTTTTTTTTTAACTATTTCTTTTCCAAACAATCTTTTGAAGTCATTGTCATTGGGTTACGCAAGTATTAACATGTCATCAGCAAACTATGATTAATTATCCTAGAATTCTTCTAAATTAAACCTCCTGATATTCCCAGCACACTGTAATTGATCTTTACCCTTTTCTTCTATTGGGAACATTAGACATAGATGGCTTTCCTGTGTCCTTTTCATCTCTTTGCACTAGCCTATCTGCATAAACTGTTTAGTCAACCTACCTTTCAGTCAGGCTGTTATCCCTGAACTCTTCTAGATATATTTTTAAGACACACTTTTAATATGTTTTATCCCATTTCTTTTTTTGAGTTAAATTGACAGCTTTTCTTCTGTGTCCATGCCTGAAGCGTAAGTCCTAAATTCTGAGCAGTGATTCTTAGTTGCTCCTTTGTCTAATATAAACTTCAAATTAATAAGATTTAGCAGTATAAAAAATACAAAATAAAACATCTAATATACAAAATAAAACATCTAATATCCAGAAATGATTCTTCTTAGTACCTTTTCCAACATAGACTTCATGGGATCAGGGAATGTTTTCTAATAATTTATTTCTGATCCTTCATTTGTCACATGTTCATGGATTCAGTGGCATCTCAGGAAAATTCCAGAGCTTACTTTCTATTTTAAATTAATTCCACATGGACACTCAGTTGTAAGAGCCACATAGGTGCACACGTGCTCTGGCATATAACCCCAAAAATCCTTAAATCTTTTTGCCAATTTAAACCTGGAAAGGAGACAATATCTACTGAAGAGAAAGAGTCTGTTTTGTTATTTGGTTTTGTGTATGATTTTGAGGCAGTTTATATGTGATTTTGATAATAAGATATCACTGAGCTAAGAAGTGTAATCCTACAAGTGACTTATTTTCTGTAAAAGCATTATTTTCTATCAAAAGATCTTCCTTTATTTGTCCTGGTCTTCAAATCATGTGCCTGGACTTTCTATTAAATCTTTGTCCCCTCTACCTTGCAGTAAACCATTAAAACTCATGCTTTCAATTGTTTTCTACTTTCCTGAGGCAAAACATTTTCAGAAACCAATGGGAGCAGTGTATTTGACACTAAATTGTCAGTTAAAATAGCAGGATTGTGTCTCAAACATAAAAATCTAGTTTTGTATAAAATAGAAATTTAGGGTTTTTTGTTGTTGGTCTGAAAATAATAGCACAATTTGCTCTTTTATAATTAATTTATTTAAAGTATGCAGGTAATAAATGACAATTTACCCAGTGCAAGATTTATCTAGTGCTTACTGCGTATCAGTACCGCAGGCTGTGCATGTCAGATAAAATGACGATGTTCTCTTCTCAACTTGTTTTCACTTTCACTTGAGTACCCAGAGAAGCAGGCCGAATTTTATGAAATAGATTTAAAATAGGTGATGCAGATACAGATAGAGACAGAGATAAGATACAGATAAAGATGCAGATACAAGTTTTCAAGTTTTACAAAATTGAAATTATTCCCTTTGTGGTAAAATTTTTCATTCAGCCTAGAATGATTTGATTCATTAAGTTAAGAAATATTTAAGTTCTTATTTTGTTCCTGCCACAGTTTGCATGTTTCAAAAAGCAACTTGTAAAAAAAAGTCGATGTCTTTAAAGTAAAATTCCTTAAACTTAGAAACTTTTTCAAGCGCATTTGGAGCCAATTCAAACAATTATGAAGATGCTTTGAATGCAATGTTGTGACAACTGTCAGGCCTGTGCCTAAGGCTTGCGTCACAACATCATAGGATCTTAAGTGAGTATTTAAATACAGGCTTAAAGTTTTCTAAAACCTTCAGAGAAGCCACTTGGGTAATGTAAGTAGCTGGGTAACAGGGCTGATGACTCTACCACACTGCCTGATTTTAATGGCAAAACGTCTACATTGGGCGCCATTCTAGGGGATTTCCATGTGATACCAGGGACCACTTTGTGGCAGCACTAGTCCCATGTTAGTTGACAGCTGACAGAGTTGTCTTCTTGCTGATCCGCTGAATGTTCTACAAATGGCCCATCCTGAGCACTGGTGCTGGCTCCTCCTGCTGGCTCCTGTTCTCTGCTCCAAAGAAACAGATTCCTATTTCTTGTCTTTGAGACAGGGACTTACTATGCAGTTCAGGCTGGCCTTGAGCTCACTTTGTAGCCCAGGATTTTTTCGAACTTGATTCTTCTGTCTCAGCCTCCTGAGTGCTGGGATTGCAGGTGTGAGGCACCATGCCCAGTTTACTTCTGCAACTCCTTGTTCTATCTCATTCTCTCACATGCATTTGATGACAGCTGGTTCCTTCCTTGCCACATGAGAACTGTTTATTTCTTGTGTGGGACTTAGGCTTGTTTTGTGTCTGCTCTTCAAGCCGAGCGTAAGGTAGAAGTTCACAGAAGAGAGAACTTTATCTTTGCTTCTTCCACACTAGAAAACT